AAGACCGAAAGCAGAGTTAAAAATTATTTAACTTTTCCGTTTTCGTCCCGCGCTTCTGTCGTACTGCAACCAATAAAAACGCAAGGATTTGTGACGCGTAGTCACGTGCATTAATCACGTGTAGTTTAATTGTCGTAATGGCGGAAAGTGTAGCGAAAACGACGAGGAAATAAATAGATTTGGAATTCTTCATCGAAGAAGTTAGAAAATACACATGTCTGTACGACAAAAAATGTAAATAATTCAAAGATTATTAACAATGAAATTGTTAATAAATGCAGAGAAAGCATGGCAAAATCCGTATTGTCGTCCATGTTTGACTCTACGATAATTACAGAACTGATCAACAGATGGCGCATTTCTAGTGGAGTCAAGTTAAAACGAAAACATAACTGAAACTAAAACTCTATATGTTTCAGTTCTGTTTCTGAGTTTCTGTTTTCAGGTAATGTGGAGTCCAGGCTTTAGCTTTTTGCGTTTTATGTATTTTGGGATTATTACGTCTTCACAGCACGTTTTTACAGATATAGTAATTATTGCAATTTTAATATGTACAGTATTCTAAATTCCATCTACGTGTTTCACGTAATTTAAATAGTCCGTTAAAACTAAGTGTTCAAAATTTATAGTATTCGATTTTCGCTGGAGTACTTGAAAGTACTTGCGAGTACATGTGAATTTTTACAAATCACTGCTTGTAACGCCGCAACACCGATGTATTAATCATATACAGTATTATTTTATTCCTTTTATTTTCTTCTTGTATAGTCTGCGCTTTGTCTTTAATCATCATTAATATTTTTAATTATTATACTGTGAAAGTATGGATGATCAGCAAATAAAGATCAATCACTTCATTAGTTGAATAAATAGACAGAGGTCAGAATGTGCGTCACTGAACCAATTATATATATAGAATTACAGAGTCTCATCTCTCGTTCAACCTTCTCACGACAAATTAGAATATGAGTAACTTGCTTAAACTAAGATAATTATAACTAAACTTAAACCTAATACTATTACTAATAGAGAGAGAAAGAAAGATAAGAAATGATTAGAAAAGTCTACCAATAGTGAGTCGGTGAGTCCTGATACTTAGGTAGATAATGACGTTGGTCACTTTGTGCACAGCGAATTGAAAATCCATTAGCATGAGGGTTTTTTCAATATAATTATTATCGAACACGTTCCTTGGATCTCTCCGGAACAGCTATCCCAATTAATTCTTGTCTCCATTCCTACTTGATCTCCCTTGGCTTGTTCTCTCTTTTCCCTAAGGCTTATGCATGGTCCTCCTCCACTCTTGCTTGACCTTTCTCCTTGGTGGCGAACCCAAAAGTGCTTTTCTTCTCTCACCACGTGTCTCACCCTACCCTCAAGCATGGTCCCCTTTTCGTCCCTTTGTCAATTGGTTAATCAGGATCCCAAAATATTGAAATTCCTGCCATGTGACAGAAAAGGATTAAAAGTGAAAGGAAGAAAAATTATAGGAATGCTATTTGTTTAATTATTGTACGATATAATGAATAAATATCTAATTATTCTTAATATAATGTTTTACTATATTGCCCTCAGAAAATTGAAAATCATAATATATAAATACCCCAAAATATAAATTGTTACTAATCGCCCCAACATGGAAAAATCGCCCACCTGGGAGCGATATCACCCCCTGTTGAGAAACACTGTTTTACTACTTCCATTAAAATTTATACATAAAAATTATTTTATTTAAGGACAGCTCAAAACAAAATTTCCAGATAATTCTAAATTCTTCTTAGAAATCCTTTATGTCCTCAAAATGTTAAAATGAAATTACTATAAAAAAACTTTAAAATGTTTTTCAATATGAAATTTTTTTACAAAAAATTGAGTTTCTATGTGCATTTTATAATTTTAGAGAAGGGAGACTCTTCATTTGTATATAAACATCTTTCCAATGTAACTGGTTAATTTGACAAAATCTGTGGCTCACATAACAATCATTAAAATTATTTAGTTAAATAATTATAGTTTTAAAGATAAAATTCAGATTATTGTGTACAAAATATACAAACAAATTTCTTACTATATAATATTCTTGTGGATCAAGAGCAACACTTAAAATAGGTGCTTCATGTCCTTCAAATATATTTTGTGCACTATTAGTTGTATCTACAGCTTTAATTATGAAATCTCTAAAAGAAAAAAATTAATAAAAATCAAAACCATATAACAGTTTTAATTCATTCTATTATAATAAATTTCTCAAAGATTCAAAAACAATATAATTGAAAAATGATAAAAACTAATTTATAAAAAAAATCTTGAATGACTTTCTAAAAGCTGGAAGTATTATTTGCATGAATTATATAAAATTAAAATAACTTTAAAAATGATATGTAAACGTATATAAGTTAATACATTAAAATCAGCAACTGCTAGCTAGTAGAATCAAAATTAATTAAATATATAAATAAATGTTTTCATAACAATTTTGATTTTTGTATATTTATATTTAATTAGTCAGAATGTAGCCCAATAATAAATCTGGTTTGATTATTTGAATAGCAATTTTAATTCTTGTACATATAAATATTGTATATAAGCATACCCTGCTCCAGCTAAAAGAATTTTTCCATTGGTGCTACAATATATACTGTTTATTTGAGATGCAAATCTTGTAATAATACCATCTGGATTCATACTTGGAAAACTATAAACTTGAATTGCATTTGCATCATTTGCAACATATAATTTTCCAGCCTAAAAATATAGAATGATTATTATTCTGTATTAGTTTTTATTTTTAAACAAAAAGACTATAATGACTTCATAATATATTGATAAAGTTTATTAAATTTTTTAAAAGAAATTCAAATATAAATAATTTAATTTAAATTTGCAAAAAAAACATATAACATATTTTAATATATAAAGAAATATATAAGAAAAAAATAATTATGATGTTAGAGCCAAATGTAATAATAATAATAAATAAAAACATTTAAAGTGACTAAAATTATTAATCAATTATAATTAAAACAAAATAATTATCAATTTAAATCATAATTAACTATATTTTATAATGGATTTGAATGGGCCATTCTCTTCATAAATAATCATCGAACTTGCTAAAAACATTCTTAATATTGTGATTTTTTTATTTAAATCAAGTCCATTGTCTTCTACAAGTTTATTACTAATTTTTATTCTTGCAACATCTATTTGATATTCAAACATCCTCTTATTCAATTTCTTTGTTCAGAAAGATCTTTTCAATAATTCAAAATTCAAAGTTATCATTAAAAACGTAAATTCAAATATGATTTTAATTTATGGTTCTTGCATAATGGATTATGTCAATTAATGTCAATTACATTATTTATTACTGTAGTAACAGTTAGGCTTGAGTTACATTGCAATTATTTCAGTAAGCAGAGTATTTTGCTTCTGAATATCATAATTTAAATCTTATTTTTTAATCTTAAATGTATTTCTCTGCGTGGTACATTG